CAACGAAGTAAAAATGAAAAGATTTTTAAATGAGTTGTTAAAAAAAGTTTTAGATTTCTTTAAGGCAAATTAAGCTTTTTTAATATTAAAATATAGCTTAAACATAGACCTTTTTCTGTGCGTTAATACTGGCGTTCAGGGACGTGCCGAGGATGAGGGGTCTCGGTTGGTTTTTCCCGGGCATCACGTTTATGGGGCATCATCAGATGAAAAAAAAACTTTTCAGTATGCCAAATAAAAAATTACAAACACCCAATAAAGAAATGAAAATTGTTTACTTTGTTACCTTCATCCATCAAACTACAGAGAGATTTCAAGCTCTGAAACAGCAATGTGGTTTACTTTCCTTCATCTGTCTACGTCTACGCCTGACAAAATTCAGTAAATTTTTTTTTATTATATACCCCGGGCATTATAAATTTCCTGTGCACCTCTGCTGAAGTTGACACAGTTGTACAATCAATACATAAAAATTTAGTTTTTTCAAGTTTATATACTTAAATTGATTTTTTATATTTAAAATAATGCTGCATTTTTGATGTTTTGATGAGCCGAATAAATGATGTTGAGCTTTTATTAAAAACATAAAAAAATGCAGAAGGAACAAATAGAGTGAAGATGATGATGAAAGGTCTAGATAAAACATGACACTTTTTTCAGATTTACCTGTAGCTCTACCCCTTTAAATATCATTAATCAAATTTACTTTTAAATTATGTCAAATTTATTAAATGGTAAACTTAAATTTTGTGTTGGTGGATCTATATGAAATTAAAAAATAAATAATTTAAGAAATTAATTTATTGAACATAAAATGTTTGATATAATCACCTCATTTTGTAACAAAAAAGTAAGTTCAAAATATCTGATAACAAGATAAATACGATGTTTAGGAATGAATAGTTGAACCTAGGACTTTTTATTTATTTGTTTATCTTGAATCAAAAAAATTATAAACTGTTTGTTGTCAAAACATCAAGTTTGTTAGTTTTTTGTATAGTTTTATATTTTTAAGCTGAGAAGAGTGGTATAACAAATGTGATTAAACAGTTTGCGAATACTGGTCAAACCACACCGAAGAAGCGACCTGGACGTCCCAGAATAAGTTCTGGTTGCGCTGGTTGTATTCTATCTCGTCTTACAACTCTGGATTGATTCAAGGGTTCGATTAAACTGTCCAGGGATTGGTTTGAAGCAATAGGAACAAAGTCTGCTCAGTACAGTATGGAGACGGTTGATCGCACATGGCCTGACAATTGTATTGTCCAGCAAAGAAACCAATGCTGATCAAGTTTCGGAAGAAAAGACGTCTGGATTTTGCAAGAGCACACAAGTACTGGACTGTGAATGACTAGAAAAAGGTGCATAATCTACAGTATAACTATGTAATTATTAGACACGACTCATTGAGTTTGTTGTGAATATCTTTGTCCATGCGCCATTTTTAAATGTTGTTTATATTTTTATTCTCCACTTTGTTATTACTGCAATACTGTACAGTATTATGGCTGTAATGTTTAGGTTGACAGTAATGTTTAGGTTGACAGTAATATTTAGGTTGACAGTAATGTTTTTGTTTTTTACACTGCTTTTTGTGCAACATGTGCTTTTTATGCATCTGGTAGGAGGTCATCTTTTCCGATGAAAGCATATTCAGCATCCAAGCTAACAAGACTCATGTCAGACGTCAGGCTAACGAGAGACTGCTTCCAAGCTGCCTTGCTCCAATTATTAAACACCCCAAAACCATAATAATTTGGGGTTGTTTTTCATTCTATGGACAAGGTTGTTTGTACGAGGTTCCTAAGGGCACTACGGTCAACTCAGGTATTTGGAAATACTTAAAGACATTGGTATTTGGAAATACTTAAAGACAATGCACACTTTTGTTAAAAGCATGCCTCGACGTATGGCTGGTGTAATAGCTGTGAAGAGTTATGCAACCAGATAGTAATTTCGGACATATTACGATAGCTACAGGACATTGTTTGTGAAAAAAATTTTAATCAAGCACTCTTTAAGATTAATTTGCAACTGTGAACAGTACAATCAAGTATTGAAAAGTGTTAAATGCCATTTATAATTTAAAAAACCGTGATTTGAACTAGTTTAGTGTAAAAAAAGAAAACAATTTTTTTGATGCTGTCCACATACTTTTTCACAGACCGGTACGTTCTGAATGTGTTTTAAACATCTTTTAAACATTAAAATGTAAAAAGCGTTTAAAAGACGTTTAAAATACATTTGAAACGTTATTTTTGAAAATAAATGCTCGTTGGAATATATATATATATATATATATATATATATATATATATATATATATATATATATATATATATATATATATATATATATATATATATATATATATATATATATATATATATATATATATATATATATATATATATATATATATATATATATATATATATATATATATATATATATATATATATAATTGTGTGTAATAATATTAACAAATATATTTGTTAATATTATTTCTACAACTATGTTCAAACACTGAACTTTAATATTAATAACTTTCATTTATTTTTTAGTAAACTACATTGTCAAACTCTTTCTAACCTAATGTAATCATTTACATAGCGTCATATTGATAATCTGAGTCAGATTTTTCAAATTTGCGTTTTGGTTTTAATTTGTAACTTTTAACTTGCTATTTCATTGCAGGATATTCACGGTAGTTTACCTTAAAATAATGGAATGTTACAGTAATGTAATCACAGTGTTCCAATTTAAAATATAATACCGCCACATTTGAGTAACGGTATAGTACTATCGTTCATACGGTAAAGTTTTACAATGTATAAGTTTATTGGTATGTTTGTTAACAAATGTCATTCCTTTTGACAATGTGTTAACCAGAATTTTTTTTTGAAGTTTCTATTTGAGTTGTTCTACGAGAGTCATATGCTTCGCTAAATTGGCATCACATTTTGAGTAAAGAATTTTTAAGTAAACGTTTTTTTGAAAAAAAAACTAGTTGAAACAAATATCTTTTCATCACATGACTGCTTTTTTTTAACATCTATAGTTTTACTCTTGTGTAGCTTAGATAATTTCCACAATGTCTTTTTGTTACTTAAATATGACAAGAGTTATAGGAAGAGTTAAAAAAATTTTTTATAACTCTTTTTCTTTACTGACGATAAACTTTTTTGCAGGTCAGTAGTGAATATTTCATTACAATATTACTAGAAAGACTACAATTTAAAGCGACGAGCTCCTTCCACTCTTAAGCGACGAACTTTTAACGACGAGTTTCCTCTACCTTCCACATTTAAATTGGGGATCAGAGTTTTTTTTTTATTATAAGTAAATTGCTTTCACCACAATTAAGGATCCTTAAACTATCAAATTAAAATAGCCTTAAATCAAGCAAAAATTATCTTTAATGCGCTTATAAAATTGCCAATTATTTATGGAAAAATAAATTATTTAGTGTTTACAAGGTAAATTTTTTTGCATATGTTTTTTTCCAGTAAAAATGTTTATTAATTGGTAAACACATAATTACTTTTTGAAACCTTTTCTACTTATACGTTTCGCATATTTTGGAAATCTCACATGACAAAAATACTTTAAAAATTTTATTAACAGGTCAATCGAGCATAGGGGCTAGTTGGGTAATTAAAATATATCGAAAACTATGCATCGGGTGACAAAGCATCTACTGGATAAAATATTGGGAATTAGAATGGTAGCATATACACGACAAAAGGTTTTTAGACAGCTGTCGAATTGCACGATTAGATGTAACGACATGAGTAAGATGCACAAGCAATTTTTCTATTTTGGACCATAAAAATGTATATTTTACAATTTTTTTTAATCACTTAAGTGTACCAATTTATCAGACTTTCGATAATAACTAGCCGTTTTTTCTTAAGTCTTATTTTTCTCTTTAACACATAACTAATGTGTCACCAAGTCTAGTAGGGGTAAAGGTCTCACATACTTGCTTAACTTACTCCCTTGGGCAGGTGGAGCAGCTCTGTAAACTTTTGAAAAATATTTTTTGATTTGTTTGAGATATTAATCTTCTCAAACAAATTAAAAAGTTTTTTCCAATTTTACTTTTTACTTTTTTCCTAACCAATTTTACTTTTTTCCTAACCAATTTTACTTTTTACTTTTTTCCTAACCAATTTTAACAGATTGTATTATCTTTCCAATAGTGAAAAAATAATGTAAATCTGACGCACTGTAAGGTTTAATAAAAATTTACTAACCTAACCCCCTTTACTCTTGTATTCTATTTGAATCCCTTTAAAAAAATTGTTATTTATAATAAATATAATATAAAGTTATTTATAATTTTGTTAACAATTCAAATCAAAACCTTTTATGAGTTTTTAGGTAAGACTTATGCATTCTAAAAAGTTTTATTATTTGCATTCTAAAAGGTTCTAGTATTTGCGTTTCGTTATGTGTCCACGTTAGATATATGCTCGTTTTTGACAGAAAGAGATAAGTTGTTTTTTTAATTATAAAAGCTGTTGCGCAGTGTTTAAGTTTATTTTACAAAGTACGTCTTTTAAGATAAAGAAAAAGAAGTTTTTAACTTTATAAATGTAAATCAATAAAATGTATTAATTGCCAACATACTTAATTTAGTATAGCGTGGTGCACTTAAAAATATTTTTGATTAATGTTTAATGTTCAATATTCAGTATTTTCCTTCTTTTGAAAGTAACTTGAAAGTTTTTATTAAAGATCCCATTTGTATTATAACACGTAATCAAAAAAGCATTGAAGTTTTTAAATAGTCAATAAGTTTTCCGATATTTAAAATCAAAAAATCGTATTTGCTTAAATTAATTAGTTATTGGAAAGTGTAAAACTCCAAGTTCACTTAGCTTTAATATATTGATGACAATACACACTGTGTTAAATAAATAAAAGCTGTTTACAAAAGAAATTTTAACTCTATATAAGCACACAACTTGATGTCAATATAGGAGTGATCAAATGTTGACAAAAACAAGAATAGAATCGTTCAAGCGTGAGCAACGCAGGGCGTTGTTTGATAAGTAAAATTAAAAGAAATCGTTTCACATCGTGTATAGTCTTTGTAGAAAATATACACAGTTGTGATTATTTTTTTACGTTAACATTAAAATGGCTAATCGACCAAAAGGATATGGTATGACTGCTGAATTGGCAAATAAACGTGCGGCAAAGTTTGATCCCGATTTAACAAAAGAAGCAATGGAATGGATTGGTGAAGTGTTAAGAGATGGAGGGGGTGAACATGCTGAATTAGCTTCACAAATTGGAGTAATTGAAAATGCTAAAGACGTTCAAAACACCTTAAAAGATGGAGTTATATTGTGTCATTTAATTAATATTATACAACCAGGAAGCGTGAAGAAGTTTCAGGCTTCAAAACTAGCTTTTAAACAAATGGAAACAATCGGCCAGTTTTTGACAGCATGTGAAGGTCTTGGAATTAGCAAAATAGATCTTTTTCAAACCGTTGATTTATTTGAAGCACAAAATATACCTCAAGTTATAAATGGAATATTTGCTCTTGGAAGAAAAGCCCGAAAAATATACGACGGACCAACTCTTGGACCTGAAGAAGCAACAGAAAACAAACGCGAATTTACTGAAGAACAATTAAGAGCTGGTGAAGGTGTTATTGGTTTACAAGCAGGTTCAAACAAAGGAGCATCCCAGGCTGGTCAAAATTTTGGAAAAACAAGAGCAATCATTGATTAAAATGAAAAATACTTTTGCATTTTTTTTGCATTCATCAAATTAATTTGGAAAATATTTATAAAACAACAACTGTCGTTTTATTGTAGACAGAAGACTCTTGTTTGTTGCAGACATAGGACAGTAGTTTGTTTTATTTTATTTTTATTAAAAATTGTTTTTAAATTTTAGATACAATTATAATACTTTTATAAAATATGACAATATGATTTTGAGTCTTTTTTTGTTAGCATTTTTGTTAGCATTTCAAAGTATACGCAGAATGACTAAAAATTTGTATTAATGAAACTGCATTTTTTTCTTATTATCATAATGTTCCTATTTTCTTATTATCATAAGTGAATTATTATTAATGATAATTCCGTTTATGAACTATTATATAAATATAAATATAAATATAAATATAAATATATATATATATATATATATATATATATATATATATATATATATATATATATATATATATATATATATATATATATATATATATAGGGTTTCTTGTTTTTTCTTCTAATTCTGGTGTAATTTTTTATTTATTTTACATAAATAAAAAATTACACCAGAATAATATAAATCTGATACATACTAATGATACATACTAACATAAATTTTTACAAAATATTGACAGTTAAATATTGTACTTACAAACCTAGCTTTACATTGTTAATACAATGTAAAGCTAGGTTTCCAAAAGGAGACGATAAGCATCTTATCATTGGAACCTTAAAAAATAAACAGATTTATTTATAACCGAGTGGGAACGGGACATGAAAAAGACGTCTTTTAAACGTCTTTTAAATGTATCGATCTAACTTAGAAGCTTTGTTCAAGTCGTTTACATAGATTAAAAATAGTGGTTCGAGAAAAGAACCTTGTGTAACACCACAGGTTATACTCGGGGTTTCTCTTTGATAACCATCATTATAATACACATGTTGCTTACAACTTTTTAAATTGCTTTCAAAACTTGATCGTTTAAACCATAATATTTAATTATTTGAATAAAATGTTATGACCAACCGCATCATAAGCTTTTGATTAGATAATAAAAACACCTAGTGTAGATTGAGATTGATGTTCGAATTAATGTTCAGTTGAACTTTTTTAAAAACCATCTCGGTGTAATTAAGGCGATTTACAAATTATTTGAATTCTTTTATTTGGAATTAGCATGGTTTTATCAGCGTATTACATCCAAACAAGAGCTTTAGATGGTATAATTTTTTTTTGTTTTAGGTTTTTTTAATATTTAAATAAACTTGTGATTTTAAGAAAATTTACAAAAAAAAAAGGTCTGGGTTTTTTCAATATAAACATTTATATTTTTTGAAAACCGTAAAGTTTATAATTTTAATTTTTTTATCTTATCATAATTTACAAACCAGATTATTTAACGGAAATATGTCGTAGTCAACAAAATATCATACAGCACAGTGAGCCATAAAGACAGTCTGGTTCGAAATCTCACCACCTCAGATTTTTTTTTTTTTAAAGTAACCTTAGTTTGTATAAGTGTTTTTCAAGTGCAAAGCAAATCTGAACTCGATCAGAAGAGTTAGTATTTTAAGTTTAAAAAAAGTAAAAAGGACTAAAATTTTAGCAATTAAAACAATGTAATCCACCATTTTCGGCTTCTTTTTTAAAAATAAATTTCAACTGATAAAAAAAATAATGGGAGAAAAACCCACAGAGCGGTAAAAATGGCGGATTTGAAGCAGTCTGTTTGTGCAGTTTGTTTGGAATAAAAAGGCGAATATTCAAAATTGTTATCAAAAGTACAACCATCTATAGCAAATTAGATCAAAGAGTATATTTGATCTAAGTACAATAAAGATTTCATTGTTTGCCCTGACGTAATATGTTCAAATTGTAGAAGAAACATATTTTTGCTGGAGAAGGGATCAAGCATTTATTTGTCAAACTGGATGAATAAAGTATCTCAAGTACAGAGTTTATTAAATTCAAATGATTTATACATAAGTTATTAAAAAATAATTTTTTATAAAGTATATGTTTCTGAATCAGATTGACAGGCCAAGAATAAGATGCAGTACTGAACTTAGTGATATTGTTTAACCATCTCGTGGTAAAACACTAGCTGTAGGATCTCCAAAGGAAAATATATGTAGTTGCTGCTTTTCTCTCCTTGCAAGAGGTTTACAAATAAATATTTAATTATTTGATAAGTAAATAAAAAGTTGTCAAATATAATTATGTAAATACACGATTCTCTAATTTAGGCGCTGCGCACGCATGTTAAATGACATGCGCAAACCTAGCGGAAGTAAACAAACATTTATTTTTATAATTTGACTTGAGTTATACTGCGAGAAGGTCATAAAAGAAATATGAATGTCTACTCATTGTGCTGCTAAAGGTTGTAAAATTGGTCAATATAGACTTATTAAATGGAGACAGGAAATTTGCGAAGTTCACGGGACAAGAAGAGAAGAAGAAAACTGTAATTGCACAGAACTTTTATGTATAGATTAACTAGACTACTTCTTTCATAATAATAGTATTATATAACACTATAATTATAGTGTATTATATGGATATTGTGTAAATTATTAGTAAAATATTATATGGATATTGTGTAAATTATTAGTATTAATAGTGTTATAATACACTGTATAGTTTTTTATGGTATAATGAATATTAATAGTTTTATAATACACTAGTGTATTATAATACTATTATAATACACTATAATTATAGTGTATTATAACACTATATATATATATATATATATATATATATATATATATATATATATATATATATATATATATATATATATATATATATATATATATATATATATATAACAGACATTATTTTGAAATACTGTAAAGTCATTTGATTTGATAAAACTGTATCTTCGTTATCCATTTCAGACATTTACAACCAAACTACCTTTAGATTTATTCTTTTTGGTTTGTTTACCTCCGCTAGGTTTGCGCATGTCATTTAACATGCGTGCGCAGCGCTTAAACTCAAATCAGAGAATCGTGTATTGTAAACAATATGTAGAATTATACATAATTAGTTTTTTTTAATTATAATTTATATAACTTCAATAAAAAAAAACTTATTTTTAAGCTTAATAAGTTTATATAAATTTTATATTTAATTTTATTCTTCAGGAGATCATAGCAATTGTAGTTCTGGTCAGGCTGTTTTAAACCTAATTAGTTTGTCAGAAAACCTTGATTCCACATTGTGTGAACAAGTTGTTTCAGACATTATTAAAAACAAGATGAAGCGAGAAGGCATAGAGAGAGGGCAATCCTTTAAAATATCTTTAAGTAGCTAAGTTTTTTATTTTCATTATAAAATTGTTGATAAAAGATCTAAATAACCATATAGTCTATATTATATATTATAAAACTTAAAGGCACACAAAAACAGATATGAGGCATATAATTTAACAATTATTTTGATTGCTATTTTTTTTGAAATATTTGTGTTTTAACTTTAGTTATGGTAAAAAAATATATTTAATTTAGTTATACTTTATTTTTAAGGTGGGAATCCATTAACTTTAACCGTTGGAACTAAAAAAAATAAATCTTCCAGAAAGTCTTTCTATCAGATATCATTCTAAACAGTAATGGAGTTAACTTCTATACTGGAATTAACAAAAAATCAAACAAATCAAGTCTGCGTAAGAATCTAGGGTCGTCTACTGATGTTGAGAACAATGTAGTTAGCATGATGACATCATTGCAACAAGAAGTTGAGTATAAGTATAAAATAGAGCAAGATGATTTTATTTGGAATGATGAAACTGTAACAAGAGATATAGCATTTATTTATAACACTTCTGAATTTATTCTTAGTATTTTAATGGAAAGAGGTTTAGATCCTCTTTCCAGTATGGTATGTGTATCCATTGATGGAGGTCAAGGATTTCTTAAAGTAATTGTAAATGTCTTTGACAAGACCAATAACAATGAGATACACATGAACAGTGGAGTTAAAAAGTTTTTTATACTTGCTATTGTTGAAGATATTTCTAAAGACCATGGAAATTTGCAGAAAATCTTGCGTAGATTAAATCTAGATGATGTTACATATCACCTTGCATTTGATTTAAAATGTGCTAACAGCATTTTCGGTTTATCTTCTCATTCTGGTAAATATACCTGCTTATGGTGTGAAGGTGAATGTACCACTACTTGATAGACTACTTTTAGATCATTTGCCTCTGCTTATGAATTGGATATGGTAAATGATCTACTTTAGATTTATCCAATACACAAAAATAACATCTTTTAGCAGCATTTATCTTAATATAAAAAAAAATTAGACGTGGGGAGAAGTTCAATTTGGCGGTCTTTATGGCACACAGTGACAGACGCTATAATATTTTAAAACTGCCTTAACTACACCGAGATACTGATTTTTATGAATTAAGTTGTTTTACAGAAATAATTTTCAAGTAATTAAAAAATCAAATTTGTCAAAATAATAATCTAATTAATTATTTTAAAGTTTTGAATAACTTATTTGTAATGTTGTTACTCAAAATTTATGCGGCCATGGCGCAGTGGTTAGAGTGCTCGCTTTATAAGCAGGAGATCCAGGTTCGAAACGATTTCTGGACATATTTTCGCGTCACGGTAAGAAAGGAGGCGTGAACTTCCTCGTTAAATGCACTTCCGCGGTGTTTTGTGACAAGACCGTTAGGTCTTCTTGGGACACCTAAATAGCAAAATAATAAAAAAAACTCTATTTTTGTTTTTAAATATTTTTTATATAAAAAACTTTTCATTACTTTTTTTTTTCCTCTTAAATTTGCCGATAGAAATAATTATAATTTTCGTATTTGTAAAATAAAGAAATGGTCCAGGTAAGAAAAAAACAAAATAGTCTTATCTGTAAAAAATATATACTCACAAGTCATTAAAAAAATTTTAATTATTAAGATAAAGAATATAGTATTAGGAAATATAATATAAATAGTTTTAAAATATTAAGAAAAATTTATATTTATATATTGAGAAAGTATAAAAAATAAAAAATTAGAATTTTTGAAACTTAAATCTAAAATATAAAAAAAAGTAGGGGAGAACTTGAACCCTTAATATGTGTGCATCTTTGATCCTATAGCGTTATCTCCATACTTACATAACTTATTAAAGAGGGCTGTTAGCCAGTGTTTTTTTTGTTCTTTATTACAATATTTATAATACATATGTTACAAATAATATAAAAAAAAGAAAAGATAACAAGTCAAGGTATTGTTAAGAAATAAAGTATAATAAATAAAAATAAAGAACGCAGATACTCAAAGAAGACCATAAGGTCTTGTCACAGAGAAACTGCTATTGAAGAAATTATAACGTTTTTTTTTTTTTTTTCAATGAATTTTCCTTTTTGTTATGGTGTTTACGCCTTGCATCAATCAAATTACTGTGTCTTCCGAAGAGCTGACTCATGCGAATAATAATGTTCATAATTTTCTTAATAAATCTCTTGCGAGCACTGAATTTAATTTGTCGAAAATAATCACTGAATATTATTAATTGCTACATATTATTCAATATATTACTGTATATAATCAATGTAATCACATTTCCAGACTGAATAAAGTACATTTCCAGATCGTTCAAAAGGTTGTGCAAAAGGAACTAAATACGATGATTATTGCCGCGTGTTAGGCCAAATTACCAAACATCCATTTACGCTTCTAGCAGCAAAAACGCCAAGCTACTGCCAAATATATAAATTATCGTTTACTCTTCAACGACTAGCCACTGCCAAAGGACCTTCAAACTAGCTTATATACATATATTGACAGATACGCATACATCCAATCTTTTTTATTTTCTTTTTCTTATATATATATATATATATATATATATATATATATATATATATATATATATATATATATATATATATATATATATATATATATATATATAAATATATATATGTGTATATATATATATATATATATATATTATATATATATATATATATATATATATATATATATATATATATATAAATATATATATGTGTATATATATATATATATATATATATATATATATATATATATATATATATATATATATATTTAATACTTTTTTCCTTTTTTTTTTTTTATTTTATTTTTATTATTATTATTTTTTTTATTATTACTATTATTTTCAATGTTTCTATTCTTGTTATTTATATAATTTTGTTCAATTTCTTTTTATTACAAAATTAATAAAAAGTAATTTAATATTATAAATTAAATTAAAAATTAACATACAATATTACAATAGAAGAGTTCCAAAACTTAAAAACTAAAACATGTCAAATAATTCAATATTAATTATGTTTTGGCAAGAGAATAAACCATTATTAAACTTATTTATAATAAGATTGATATTTATTGCAAAAAGTAATTTTACTATTGATTGCCAACCAAAACAATTCGAAAACTTACATATGAATTTGCAATGATTATTTACAAGCACATTCCTTAGTCTTGGAAAAGTTTAAAAATTGCTGAAAAGCAGTGGCTTCGTGGTTTTATGTTACGTAGGAATGAATTACATGTAGGAATGAAATAACTATGGTGTCTTTTCTACCACATTGTAGTCACAAGTTGCAGCCAATAAATCGGTCAGTGTAAGGGCCCCTGAAATATTATTACAAAGCAGCCTGTGATAATTGGGTTGTATCTAATTCAAGGCCAATGGTCATACATGATATAACTGCAGTTTTAAGCTTATGCACAAGCTTTTACTATAGTAAACATTTCTGCAGGATTTGTGTGTTGAATTAAAGCCTTTAACCCTAACATATTTTAGTCTTTAAGATATCTAACTTCCAGACATGAAGCAAACTTATAAACATTTATATGTTTATTCTTACGTCAAATAAGGATGCTTTGCGGAAAGTTCCGATAATTGGAGCCTTGGAACAAAAAAGCCCAAAAATATTTGCCCTCTCCCCCCTGCCCCAAATGTAAGAGCAACAAGTTGATAAAATAATTTTTGTACTATTTTCAACAAGACTTATATTCATATATAAATTTTTAGTTTCAGAGTATAATCTATATTGTAATAGTTTGTTTTATTTATAGTTTTGATTCTTTATTTTAATTTTGATATAAAAATTATTTATATTTGGGTTTTGATGTTGTTTCGGATTGTTATACTCCATATTTAGGAGCCTCTAGTGGTGATAGAAAACTTAGTGGCTTCAAAGTTTTAGCTTCAATATAATTATTATTTGCATGCCTAACAAAATATTTGTGCTGTATTTTTTAAATAGCGTTTTGAAAATAATAGGGATAATATCGTTATTAATTTTGTACATAAAAATTAAATTTTGATATATATTTATTTGATAAACATTTAAAACTTTAGATTAATAATTAATTGTTATAAATGTGAGAGACGATCTGCGAAGGATATTTTTTCCAATGGAATGTTTTTGTTTGTTGAATAGCTTATTAAGTTTTGTTTTATTGGTGCTTCACCAAGTGATGTTACCATAATTATAACAATGAATAACAATGAGATAACAATGAATAAAAAAAATAGATAGAATTTAAGGGAATTTGATTTAAGTAAGGGTTGGTATAACTCATGCAATTTTTAAATTTTTCGTGAAATATTCCGAAAAATATTTAAACTGAAATGATAAAAAGAAAGAATAAAAGTATGCAATAATGGTATTATTAAATAATGCATAGATTTTATTACAACATTACTGCTTATTTCATCAACTCCTAATCCAATGTGTAGCTTTAACGTTTGAAAAGCACTTATTAACTAATTTTCAGTTAGTTTATTATTGGTCATTATTGTTTAGTTAGCAGTTATATATGACTCTACGCTTAATTTTTTTTACATTGTTAGCTTTAGTTTTAAGCTTTGTTAGCTTAGTTTGGTCCTACTCTAAAACCTGATTTAATGTTTTTGCAATTGTTGATTCAATAAGTATATTATCATCATTAAAGTTTATTGTTTTACTTTTTTTTTTGTGCCAGTTAGTTCTTTAATGACAATTCAGATGTTTTGAGTTTTGCCTTTGAATTTCAATAATTGGTATGAATAAAAAAAAAGGCTTTAATTCAATACATTTTCTTAGAATGATTTATAATATGCTCAAAAACACCTTTATATTTTATTTATTTGGATTCATTATCAAATGTTCTTTTTTAAAGGAATTTTTAATACAAGCGTTGTTTCTTATTTAATTAATATAATATTTTGGTGGTTATTCATGGGTTCAAATACATTTTGGAGTTAATAACTTTTGTTATCTCCGGAAATGCATTATTAAAATATTTTTGAAGAAAATTATCATAGGCTTTTTTAATGCGTTTTTTTTGTAAAATTCCTTTCCAGTTTTCAAATGATAAAAACTGATTAAAAAGTTCAATAGAAACGTCATTAGTTATTTGCTTGGTTATGCTCATTTTCTGAGAGTTAAGATTACATTTTTGAGTTACAATAAAAATTGAAAATGATCTGATATATCGGATATAAGTATTACATGTTTGACTTATTTTTGCAAATTTTTTGCTATAGTTTGATTAATTAAGGTTATACTATTTTTGGTGAATCTAGTTATTTTTATTTGAGATTAAGTTTCTATTTGAGTCATTCTAGCACATTTCACAAGATAAACGCATTTACCGCAAACATCTTTATTTATTATTATAAATTTTATGTGTTTATCAAAAACTTTGATAAACACATAAAAGTATGAAGATTTCAATTGTCAATGACTCACAATAGGTACTTGCTGAACAGAATTCACTCAACGGTTTACATTACATTACTTATATTGGAAAATTCTAATATACTATTTGAATTTACAACAATATCTTTAGTTTTAAAAAATTATCTTCACTTTTGCTATCTTCACTTTTACTATGTTCACTTTTGCTATCTTCACTTTTGATATCTTTACTTTTACTATCTTCACTTTTACTATGTTCACTTTTGCTATCTTCACTTTTGCTATCTTCACTTTTACTATGTTCACTTTTGCTATCTTCACTCTTACTATAGTATCTTTACTTTAAATTCAATATCTTTACTTTTCAGGCGCGGATCTAAGGGGTGGCCATTGTGGCCATGGCCACATAGTTTAAAGCCAGATTGATTTATTAAAAAAAAATTATTTAATGCTTATCAAAAGTCTTTTAGATTTAGATATAATTATTAAGATATTTTTAATTATATGTAATTGAAAACGATTTTAGGACTTGCGTATCATTTTTCGTCGTTGATAAACTACGTCACGCTAAATTTAAATTTTAAAAACGCTGTAAACATCCGCTATATTATTTCAAAATTCTCTGCAATAGAGAGTAAATAATACTTATAAACTCTGCGTGACGTACTTTATGGATAACCCTTATCGGGTTATGGCCATAGAGATAAAATTTAAAGGCAGCCAACTTAGCTTTGGGTTTCTTTGCTAGCGTGATATTCCTCAAAATTTCATTACGTCTGCCGTAATTTACGTAATTTGGCCATAGAGATTCCTGCCATGGCCACAACGGCTCCTATTATACGTTACCGACCTTTTATTCAATCGATAAATGCTATCAAATAAATAATAAAAAATAGATCTTTCAACCGTGAAAATTAAACTTGGCCACACAGTTAGTTTTGACGTGTCCGATTTAGAAAAATGTTCTCTTATATAGTAGCTAACTAATTTGGGTTTTTTATTCGTTACCGTAACATTTTCATTAAAATCGTCTTTAGAAACTAAAATAGCGTGACTTTATTAACTTGATTTTTTTAAATTTATATAATATGAATCCATATTTAACTGAAGAACTAGTTGCTTGTGCAATAGAAACAAAGCATAGGCCTAATGTCTTAAATTACAAAACTAGACTCATTAAAGAGCTTCCGGAAATAAATTTAATGTTTCCAAGAATACACGATTCTTACCAATTTAACACAGATATGATGGATTTTGTACCCTTAAGTAAAAAAAATCTTGGTTATTCAGCATTGAGGTATTTTTTGTTTGTTTTGAGTTTTATGAAAGTATTATTTAATTAAAATAATATCACAAATTGGATCTAGATGTAAGATCAATGTTAGATTTTAATTTTATTTATTGGTATTTTAACACCAATAGAACATAAATCTGTGTTAATAATTAGTTAAACGTTTAACTAATTATTAACACAGATTTATATTCTTGATAATGTGTATGAAAATAAATTATTTATTAAACATACAAATAACCTAAAAAAAGTGATTTAGTTTTTTAATAAGAAATTATGGTATATACTAAAATGTAATATTAGTAAAAAAAAAAATATTTATAGTTGAACTTTTTATTTTTTTTGTTATTGATATTACATTTTAGTATGTTATACTCATTATTATATTTTAATATATTTTACTATTTTTCTCAGATCTACTAAAGATGGAAATTGTCTTTATAGTTCAGTATCTTTGATTTTAAATGACAATAATCATACTTCAAAAATTCTAAGATTACTGACATCAATTGAGTTATTTGAAAACATAAATTTTTACACAAGGTATGATTATTTTTGTAGTTATTTTAATCAACATAGATCTGAATATTCTCAGCTTTCTAATTTGTTTTTTATTGCTGTTTCGTTTAAATGCTCTGACAGTTTTTCAACAATTAATGATAATATGATTTCTGAACTTCTGTTAAAAGAAGCGTATTTAAATTGCTTTGATAAAACATTTTCATCTTTCATTTGTCTAATAGCATTATCTAATGTTATAAAGCAACCTATTGAATCTATTTATCCTGAAATCGGTTTTAAAAAGTATTATAGTTTTTTTAATACTCTTATAAAGCCTCGCATCCAAAAATTAAATTGTCCAATAAATATTTTGTGGTGCAATTTAGATAAAACAAAAAACCAAAGTATTTTATGTTTTAAGCCAAATCATTTTGTGGCACTGGTTAAAGATCTTTCTAAAAAACGTCCTGCTGTTGTTATGAGTGATCCAAGTTTACTTTGCATCAAAAAAATAAAAGTTTCTAAGTCTAGTTTTCCACCTACAGATAACAAAATACAGAAACCAATTCAGTCTAAATTATTTTTCCCTACTGTTTCTAAAAACACTTCAGATATAGATAAGTCTAGTTTTTGTAATAAAATAGTAAAAACTGAAGTAGTTATCTCAAAAAACGCCAACAACAATGATAAAAAGCAAATGAATCTTGAATCTTATGTTCCACAAAAGGAAAGCAATATTGTTGACATTAGTTTATTAAATACAAATCAGCTAGCATCTTATTCAAACTATGATGTTTCATCATACTGTCTACAAGGTGAAAAATTAAAATCAGGAACAAATGATCATGAACTTTTATCTCTAATTAATAATGTCTGGGTTCCGGATAAATGTTTCAAATTCCCTTTAACAGGTAAAAGCAGAAAAAGACGTTTTTTGCTAAAATGGCTAGATGATTTTTCTTGGCTTTGTTACTCTAAAATTGAAGATGGTGCATATTGTCTTCCATGTACACTTTTTGGTACAAATTTACCAAACAAATATGCATTATGTAAATTGTTTAAAGAACCATTTAATACCTGGCGTAATGCTGTAAAAGTTTTCAACGATCATGAGAAAACTGTTGACGGATTACACATCAAGTCCATGCATTGTTATAATATGCTTTTATCTAGAGCTAAAAATAATTCTTTTCCTATTGAAGTTTCTTTAGATAGTTCTAGGAAACAGCGTATAGAAGAAAACAAAAAAAAGCTTGAATCAATTGTTAAGACTATAATATTTTTAGGTCGAAGTGATATGCCTCTACGAGGTCATAGAGACGATAGAAAATATCAAGGAGAAATTGGAGAATCTTCAAAAAATACAGGGCTAGGTAATTTCATTGAGCTTTTAAATTTTAGGGTTGATGCAGGTGATTTAATTTTAAAGGAGCATCTTCTCTCTGCCCCCAAAAATTCCACATATATTTCAAAGACCATTCAAAACGAGTTAATTGAGTGTTGTGGAAATGCAATTGAAGAAGTTTTATTAAATGATATTAAAAAAAGTAAGTACTTTTCCATTATTGCAGACGAGGCTTCAGACTGTGCAACAATAGAACAACTTTCTATTGTCATACGTTATGTTGACTTGAACAGTAATATTAAGGAAGTTTTTTTATGCTTTTTTGAATGTAAAACAGGTACAAGTGGTTTAAGCATAGCTACCAATATTCTTGAAACTTTAAAAGAATTCGGTTTAGATATAAGAAAATGCAGAGGCCAGTCTTATGACGGAGCTGCTTCAATGTCAGGTGAATACAAAGGTGTTTCATCTGTTATAAAAAATGTTAATCCTAAGGCATTATTTGTCCACTGTGCCTCACATAAACTTAGTTTAGTTGTTGGGAAGAGTTGCCAAATCCAGCAAGTAAAAAATTTGCTTGAGCAAGTTAAAGACATAACTTATTTTTTTAACTTTTCTCCAAAAAGAAGTAATTGCTTAAAGAAATAGCTTCTTCCTGGTCAAGCAAAACTTATTGACACATGTCGAACTCGGTGGGTACAAAAGCTTCGTGGACTTGATGTGTTTTTCGATAATTATTCTGCAGTTTTTTCTGCTTTTGAAGAAATGGAAGACAATAATTTAAAAGAGTACAATAAAGAAACATCTTCAAAAGCATCTTCTTTTATGAAGTTATTGACAAATTTTTCTTTTATAGTTTCTTTAGTTTTAACTAAACAACTAATGGATTACTTTTATGGAATTTCTGTTACTCTTCAAACTAAATCTTTTGATATTTCCCAGCAACTGGATGAAATTCAGAATTTGACTAATCGTTTAAGAGAAATGCAAAGAAATGCTGATGCTTACCATAATAAATGGTATAAAATTGCTCTTGCATTGGCTAAAACATTTGATATTGATGAAAAAAAACCTAGAACATGTGGTGTTCAGAAGCATAGAGATAATCAAATATGTGATACTGTATCTGATTATTTTAAAGTTTCTATTACATTGCCTCTTCTCAATCACTTTCTCAATGAACTAGAAAATAGGTTTGATATTGAGAGCTTAATTGTTTATAATGGTCTATGTGCTATTCCTGCTAGTTTAACAAAGCAATATTTTAGATCTTGTCCATGGAAAGAAAAATTCCTAATTTTTTTGAATTTTTATAAATCTGATCTTCCTCATTTCTCATCAATTAATGCTGAATTAGAGTTATGGGAGGAATTTTGGAAAGAAAAGACAGAATTACCATCTACTATTTCAGATACATTAAAGTTTATGGATATGAGAGGCTTTCCAAACATTTTAGAGGCTTTTCATATACTTGCTACAATACCAATCACAACTTGTGAGTGTGAAAGGTCAATATCTACTCTTAGGAGAATAAAAACTTACACTAGGAGTACTATGTCAGAAAATAAATTGAATGGGCTTGCTTTAATGTCTATTCATCAGGAAATAGTTCCTGATATTAACAGAGTTATTGAAATATTTGCATCCAAAGGAGATAGAAAATTAGAGTTTTTATTCAAATAAAAGTTTTGAAGTTATGTTTAAAGTATTAACTATTGTTTTAAAAGTATCTCTTAAATATAAATAATTTTTCAAAAGCAAAATATTTCTACTCATTGTTTTAAACATGTAAATTGTGAAAATCATTTTTCATTAGCAAATTATTATTATTCATTGTTTTATATAAACTGTGAAACTCAATACTTCATTTGCTATTTCAATTAATTCCTAATGTTGAGAGCGTTTTCAGGTGATTTAGGTTGTTACTTTTTTAGTTGTTACTTTATTTGTTGTATTATATTTTTTCTTGTTTATTTATTTATTAAAAAATAAAAGTAAAAAAAATTATAAAAATATTTAAAATATTTGTGCATAACTGCCTATCAAAAAAAAAAAAAAAAAAAAAAAAGAATCCAGAAATGGAGGGCTAACCTTAAATAAGATTACTAATACTTAAGTTAAACTGTTTATTAAGAAAAGGAAATAATCCATAAATAGAGGAGTAACTTTAGGAAACATTAATAATAATAATTAACTTAAATTGCCTATCAAAAAAAGGGAAGAACCAGAAATGGAGGGCTAACCTTAGGCAACATTACTAATACTTTACTTAATCTGCCTATCAAGAAAAGGAAAGAATCCAGAAATGGAGGGCTAACCTTAGGCAACATTACTAATACTTTACTTAAACTGCCTATCAAGAAAAGGAAAGAATCCAAAAATGGAGGGCTAACCTTAGGCAACATGACAGTTTACTGATGGAGTGCAAAGTCCTATGGCTTACCTTCTCGTTGGTGCACTTCGTTAAGTGAGTTAGACAAGTATTATGTCTAATTTATGAACTAAATAGCCAAGGCAACAATTTAAATAACTTTATTGTTAAATAGATAACTAAAAACAGAAAAAATCATGACATTAATAGGGTGATGTCACCCCTTCTTTCTCAACTGAAAATATAAAATTGTATCTGGGAATTTTAGATATAGTTTAAAGTTAACAAATGTAAAAAATTGAGGCTTATTTATTTTTTTGTTTAAGGCACTTTACTCTCCCCCCCCCCCCCTCAATCTCTTTCTATCACTTATTTAAAAAAAAATAGCTCTTCGCGCCGTCCGCGAACCCAGATTTGGCCACATAGTTACAAAATCCTGGATCCGCCCCTGCTTTTACAACAATATCTTTATATATATATATATATATATATATATATATATATATATATATATATATATATATATATATATATATATATATATATATATATATATATATATATATATATATATATATATATATATATATATATATATATATATATATAATGCATTTACTTTTACTATAAAAATGTTATTTTCCTAAAAAATTGTTATTGGTATGTCTTTTTATACATAGATACAGCTGCTGGCGATACACAAAAGTTTTATCTCAAATTTTATAAAAATTTTATTGAAATAGGCAAATGTTCCATAACAAGTTAATTAAAAATCTACTAAACTTCTTGGCTATAAACAATGTGCCTAGTTGTTTCAGCATTTTTTACAAAGTAAGTGTAAAATAACTATTTTATAAATTGAAATGGTTTTTTGGCTTTGTAAAAGATAAAGAAATTACCTTTTACAAAGCCAGTGTTAGGCATAAGAGTGCTCGAAGTAATGTAATAATATGTAACATACCCTTAATAAAATAAATAGTATGAACATATAAGATAGCTGGAAACTATCTTATTCCCAGTAGACTCGCGTTGTCCGGAGGACGTCCGCTGGACATCTTATAAATGTCCAGACGTCCGTAAGATTTCCGACGTACGTGCCCTCGACGATGAATGCCCACTGAGTCACTAAGCTCCGTTTACATTGTCTAACTGTTAGTTTATATTATATGATGCCTAACATTTCAATGCGCTTCATTGCACGTGACCTAATATCTTAAATTATTGAATGTATTTCAACTTTAGAAAGAATTAGATACCCTATTTATACAAATGGGATACTAAATACCACATTAGTATTAGCTTTTAAAATAGCTTTAATAAATAAAGATGTTCAAGAGGAACTCCGAAAACGAATCTGCCAATTTCGAAATATACTTTTATATACATAAATCAAAAATATTTATAGCTAAATTCTCTTGAAAAACGAGTGTCAAGTTAAACTATAGTGTTCTTGACGGTGTTTCTGATAATTGAGACGCTTAACGTAAAAAAGAAAGTAGCTGAATATCGAAAAAAATGGACAAAAAAAACCCGAACCAACCGAAGATTTTCTCAACGAACACCACGGTGTATCTCAGCGTCAAGCCGCTCGAAAATGTAGTTGTAATCAGCCGCATTATACACTTAAAACACTTGTACATTGTACACTTAAAACACTTGTACATTGTACACTTAAAACACTTGTACATTGTACACTTAAAACTAAGATTGATATTCGATACTTTAAAAAAAAGACAATTACATATTGTACCAATGATCAGCTACACAAATCAAACCTTTGTGTCGATATCTTTAAAAAAAGACAATTACATATTGTACCAATGATCAGCTACACAAATCAAACCTTTGTGTCGATATCTTTAAAAAAAGACAATTACATATTGTACCAATGATCAGCTACACAAATCAAACCTTTGTGTCGATATCTAATATATTTACCATAAAAATCTACCATAATTTTAGGAATCTTGACCGGATCTTGGACGATGAGTCTTATTTTACCTTTTGTAACACAACCTTGAGCGAAAACGATGGCTTTAACTACAGCAAATTTTCAGCTAATCCAGTAAGTGTCAAATTCCAAATGAAAAAGAAAGTTGAAAAAATGTTGCTTTTTTTTCGTGATTATATAACCCAAAGGTGTGTCAAAACCATTCATAATGAAAAGTGGCTCGACCATTAACAAGAAAAGTTCCATAAAAAATCTAGTAAAATTCTCTAAATGTGTCTAGTACCCTTCAACAACCACAAAACTGGAAACTAGTTGTTTTGCTAGTTTTAATTATGCAAATGACATCATCGACTTCCTGCATTCGCTAAATATCAATTATTTACCAAAAATCCTAATCGTTGACTTTGGCGCAATTCTTAACCTCATTGTCTACGACGAGGGTAATTCGAAAGCAAAAAGCATATCTAAACTTAAACGTTACATCAAGTATTGTTTCAAAAAAAATGGGTCAAAACGTTTGCAAACTTTGGTTTGCTCAGACAAAATAGCCTTTAATAATGTATATTGGACTTGGAAAAGAATCTAGCTCTAAATTAGTTCTTTGAACAACAAAATTATTAATTAAAAATTGGGTAGGATATTTGTGATTTTACTGTTAGACTGAAATATAATACACACGAGAAGGACACATGGGCGTATAAAAACATTAAACATGAAGAGTAAAACTTGGTGTATATTAAATTTATAGATATTTAAGGTTTTAGGTTCCCTTAAAAGAGGTTTACATTGAACAGTTCTGTGTGCGCCGAAAATGCTTCTGGCGGCATAATTAGTATTGCCTCATATAATATTTAAGCAAGAGATAAAGCTCTGAATAAACGAGAAGTATATTTTTTTCAAAGATGCAGCATTAATTATAATGGTTTAAATTTATACAATATGGAAATATTTCTTGAGATTTTACTTTGAATGTATTTTATATAAAGTTTTCATGACAAATGTTCATCTATAATCACTCCTAGAAAATTTCTCCCTTTTAATAATTTTTTTATTGATTAGGGGATATTAGTTTTTTCTACATTCAATAAAATTCTTGAGCTAAAGCTCTCAGTTAATTTAAACTTATCAACTTTAATCATCAGTGAAAACAAGAGTATGGTTTTTGTTTTTTCATTGTTTGCCAAGTTCGTTTTGTTTCATTTTAAAATTCTTGTTTCATCTTGATACACTTTAAAATGACACAAAACTTTTCAAACAATCAAAAACAAAAGTAATTGGAAGTAATTTTTTTTTCAAACAGATTTTATGTAGCTCTTATTTACTTTTTTTTTGCTTGTGTTTGATGCCTTTGCTTTCAAGTTTTTTTACTTATATAATTTTTTTTTGATCCTCGATTTTTTAAAACCTTCAGCGTTTTTTAAAAAAATTAAATAAACTAAAAAGAATAAATTAAAAATATATACTAAAATATGTTACAATAATTGACTTTCTAGCGTTAAGTTTTTTTGTGTGTCTAAGCAATAAATATAAACCCTCTAAAGATACACGACATTTCATTGTTATTTTCTGAGATTAGAGAAAAGCCACAAAAGCATGTTTGTTCCGGTAGATAAGAAAATTTATCAGCAAGAAATACTATGTTTTCTTGTCTGACTTTTTTTGAATATATTTTTGTTTTGTTTTAGTTTTAGGTGCCCCTAGAAGACCAAGTGGTCACAGAGTACTGCGGAAGACCATGTAACTAGAAAGTTCACGCCTATTTCCATACCGATGACGCATAATATGCCCAGAGCTAGAAATGAACAGTGGATTTTTCAATCTTAAAGAAATCCCTCTAACCGTTGCACCACAGCTGTTGGTTTAACGGTAAGCCGGTTAAACCGATATTGCATCCCCAATATTCGACTTCACAAACTTTGTGCAAAAAAGCCAAATAAGTTATCGTCTAATGCATTTTTTAAACACTTTTATATTTAAAAAATATATAGTTTGTTTTTTTTATAAAAAATGTAACTAAAATATTTTTAATCAAAATAAGTTTTTGTTGCTCTTTTATTGAAGTAGTTTCAAAAATTCCATGATAAAAGTTTTTAACTTTAAGATCGTGACTATAAAGAAAGCAGTTTATGCTTCAATTATTAAGGTTTTTTTCCATTGAAATTGAATTTAAATATGGAAGAAAAAAATTACTATTCACTACTTTTAATATAGTCAGAGTTTCCGCTTTCACATTTGAGTCATTAGTTTATACTTTTAACCCTAATAAAAGGGGTAATATTTGCCTATTTTAAGCGATCAAAAATTACATTAAATTTTAGTTTCTAAGAAATCAAAATGCCTTTAAAAGTCTTTCGCATTGAT